CTCATTGGCTGCGTCAAAGGACATTGAATTGCAAATTGCTAGTAGCGATAGATGCAATGAAATGAAACGGATGGACTTTCACTATGCATGAAATCCCGTCCATACGAAATCCGTGATGTGAATACTAGTGCTGGCTAGAATCCGAGATCTGGAGCTGTGTGCCCCATTTTGAATTTTGACTGTGCCGCCCGTTTCCGAGAGGAAATGCCACGTCAGTACTTCAAATTGCCCCAAAATATAGTCCCGGCATTAGATCGAGTTCCGTTGGCCTAGATGTCCGTTCGAATTTCATGTGAATCAAATGTAGGCAGCCGTTGCATTGACCATCGATGGGGTAGAGAAATTGGTATTAAATTGGTTTGTATCGGAGTGGAATTTTTGGGAGAACAGTGGATCAGAACAGAACCCAAACAAATATAGGCCGTGGATTAGATGGTAGGGTCGGAATCCGTTATAGGCTGGCCGATGCTAAGAAGTAGCTATGACCTTGAACAATATCACGTTATGTGCACTCATTCCTAGTGGTTGTGCTTACTTGAAAAGCGCTTGCTTTCAATAGAAGGAAGTCGCTTGTGAGGCGCTTTGCGTGTTCCTTGGATGCATGGCTGCCGTCAATGAGCGACGAAAATGGGTCCCGTGCAACACAAAAAGACTCAATGACGAGTAAGCAACTACGTTATGAGACCCTCACCGAAAACTCCAGCACAGCCGGGGCACATCTACTTTCAATGCATGGCCAGATGTGGAGGGATGACACTTATGCAAGTGACAAAGAGCAGCGTGACTAGCCGGCTTCGAGCTCGGAATTCGTCAACTTTGGCCGGACCCGTTGAACACCGGCAACAAATGAGTAGCGCACAGCATCTATATCATGGTCGTAACGTTATTTTGGATTAACGGTTCATAAATTCCCCATAAGCGCATTTCTGATTTTGAAGAAATGAGAACAAAAATGAAGCGCGATAGGAATAATTTTAGTCTCAAATCTGCTTGCTGAAGTCAAGAACCAATACTCGATGCATGCCAGATTTCCGTCTTCTTTGAATGCAGTGCAGGTTGAAACGTGCTATTCGGAGGAAGCAACGGGTGTTCCTTGCTGTCTTCAAACCGCTTGATGTCGCCAACAAGGACTTTCTTTCTACCTCGTCACTGGCTGCATCTGCAACAACGAAACCGTTGTACTCGACTCTAAATCTCGGTGACGCTGCTTCAAGGGAGATGTGGAAGTCCTATTTCAAACATACATCTTCTGCTATGTTTACAAATCCTTTGCTTGTTGATCTTCGTCCAGAGCGAGAACAAGATAATTCGGTCTCCGTTGACTCCATTCATCCACCTTTATATGGGCCAATGTACCGTTTAACTCCTATGAAATATGTTGAAATTTGGTGATATGGTCAGCCGATTACTATGTGATTAGCGTTCGACCCGAGTGAGCCTAGAAGGCTAGTGAGCCCAGTGGAACGTGAGACAATAGTGGAGAGAAACACTATTGACATACATCATTCTAAGAGAA